CTTGGATCAGCTTGATTTTATGAGCTGCTTCCAGATTAAGAGCTGTGTTTTTCAGGCCGCCTCTATAAATAAACTGTTTTATATCAAGTTAAATGGCGAAGATAAATGGGCAGTAAAGTTTCATTATCTATCTATCTATCTATCTATCTATCTATGTGTATATATATATATATACACAGTCAAACCAAAAATTATTCAGACACCAGATATAATTTTTGATATTTTTTTAGTGGGTGCAGGACACTATAGTTCATTTATGTAAGTGAGGATAGCAGAATAAAGTAAACTGTGACATATTATATTCAAACATTCTTCATACAGTAGACTACCAGTAAAATTGATTAAAATTTGGGACCAAAAATTTGATTTGACACTTTGACCTGACGATGCTTTGTTACATACCTTTCTATCAAAGTTATCTGACATTATCAAGATGAATTTGTTCTGACACAGTTTAACTCTCGAGTTCGTCATATTTTATTACCATTTTCTAAACTATAGCAAATAAACTGATAATGTGAGAAATGTTGAAGGTGTCTGAATAAGCAAATGGCTGCAATATAACAAAGAGTGAAAAATTTAAGGGGGTCTGAATACTTTCCGTACCCACTGTATATATGCCTATTGGAATTATTGTCATTATTATTATTATTATTATTAAATATATTAATTATAATATATTAAAATATAAATTAAAATATATTTTTAAATGTATACTTATTTTGTATTTATATATATTTTTTATTTGATAAAATAGTTATTCGCTGTAAAATATGTAAATATTGTAAATGCTGTAACATATTAGATATTGAATTATTATTAATACAATTTATTTTCTATATTGTTATATTTTGTGTTTTAAATATTGTTCAATATTTTATTACTTATTGTAAATATATTACAATTATTTGCTGCTTTTGTTTATTGCTGTATTATATGTCAAATATTAAATACAGAACTAGATAACAAAGTTTGTAGACAAACTTTAAGTTGGCTTGAAAAACCCTAGCCAGAAAGTTTGAAGTAGCATGAAGTTTGAAGGTTTTCAGTGTGAAATAGTTTTAATGATTTAGCATGTTTCTAGCATGATAAGCATTTAACATGTTGGTAGCATGATTTAGCATATTGCTGATGTGTTGCTTGCATGTTTTAGCATGTTGCTAGCATAAACTAGCTAGCTAAAACCTGTTGATTTAAGGGGGAAAAAAGACTAAAAACCAGCTAAAACCAGTTAATTTAGTGAAAAATAGCTGAAAAACAGCTAAAACCAGCTATTTTAACAAAAACAGCTTAAAACCAGCTGATTTCTAAAAAACAGCCAAAAAAAAAAAACCAGCCAAAAAACCAGCTGATTTAGGAAACAACAACAACAACAACAACAACAAAACAGCTAAAATCAATGATTTAGGATCAGAAAAACAGATCAGTTTATTATTATAATTATTATTTGCTGTTTTTGTTTCTTTTTGCAAACATCTGCATTTGACTTTGCTTCATTCTCAAAAGCACTGAAATATAGTTTCCAAAAGTAGTGTGACTGTGAACGAGTGCAAAGTTTCTCAGGGAAACGCAAAAGTTTTGCGAGAGAACAAAAAGCAGTGAAATATAATTGATTTCTAAAAAACAGCCAAAAAAAAAAAAAACAGCCAAAAAACCAGCTGATTTAGGAAAAAACAACAACAACAACAACAACAACAACAAAACAGCTCAAATCAATGATTTAGGATCAGAAAAACAGATCAGTTTATTATTATAATTATTATTTGCTGTTTTTGTTTCTTTTTGCAAACATCTGCATTTGACTTTGCTTCATTCTCAAAAGCACTGAAATATAGTTTCCAAAAGTAGTGTGACTGTGAACGAGTGCAAAGTTTCTCAGGGAAACGCAAAAGTTTTGCGAGAGAACAAAAAGCAGTGAAATATAATTTTTCCTCTCATGTTGTGTTTTTTTCCATCTTCTTTAGACATTTCAGGCTTTAAGTTTCCATATTTTTTAGAAAACTTGTCTAAAACTGACAATAACTAACAAAACACCCATGTAATGGAAAAAAGTTTGCAAACTTTTTCTGAAAAATCACAGAGAAAATTCATGAACAATGTTTTTCCAGTTTGGTTTTATTTGTAGAACGATTTTACAAAGACAAGATAAAGAGTGAAACACACAACAAATGTGCATAGAAAAGACCAGAACGACAGATTAGCACAGCTAACTTACAAAATGCCCACGTTTGATGAAAAAAAAGTGTGCGAAATTTTTTCAGAAAAATCACAGTCACAATGTAATAGTTAACATCTCACGACAGCGAGATACACAATATCGTACGCTGAGAATAAGGCTAGAGCTGGTAACAAATACACAATAAACTTTATTCCCTAGTACTAACATCTAAATTGACGCAATCGCAAAAACACGCAAAGCTAATTCTACATATTCAATATTCTTTTACGTTAAGTTCATCCTCAACGACAAACCGATACGAACAGATGAATGTCATCATTTAACCTTAACTAATCTAAGGACTACACAACCGGTTTCTACGAAACTCCAGTGTTTCTGTTGTTTAACGAGTAGTTTAAATAAAAAATAGTTACGAATAAGACATGCAATCAAATAACCAAACAGATTATGTACAAAAAGATGCACAAATACAGTCTTAGACAGTTTCTCTGTGTACAACGACTACAAGACATTCGTGTTTTTTGTTCTAAAATTAGAAATAAAAAAAATTCTTAAAAATTAAAAATCTACATTTACAGTTCTTAAGGCCACACAGTTTCATTACTAAATCCACTGAGCAAACAAAATGCAGGTTTCACTTTGAGGCTGAAGATGTTATCTGGAGTCCTCTGGTTCTGATTTGATGGTTTTCTTGTCCAGAAGCCCGGGCTCCTTCTGAGACCCATTTTCTGAAATGCAAATATAAAAGATTATAATTCCTTTAAATTTCTAACCAAGAACCACAGTCTTAGACAGTTTCTCTGTGTACAACGACTACAAGACATTGTTTTTTGTTCTAAAATTAGAAATAAAAATAATTCTTAAAAATTAAAAATCTACATTTACAGTTCTTAAGGCCACACAGTTTCATTACTAAATCCACTGAGCAAACAAAATGCAGGTTTCACTTTGAGGCTGAAGATGTTATCTGGAGTCCTCTGGTTCTGATTTGATGGTTTTCTTGTCCAGAAGCCCGGGCTCCTTCTGAGACCCATTTTCTGAAATGCAAATATAAAAGATTATAATTCCTTTAAATTTCTAACCAAGAACCAAGATTAAAGATACATGTTTGATCATGTCGAAACTCTTCAAACTTCAGTTATAAAATATTTAGCACCCTCAGGCCATCCAAGATGTAGATGAGTTTGTTTCTTCATCAGAACAGGTTTGGAGAAATCAAGCATTATCACTTGCTCATCAATGGATCCTCTGCAGTGAATGGGTGCCGTCAGAATGAGAGTCCAAACAGCTGATAAAAACATCACAATAATCCACAAGTAATCCACACCACTCCAGTCCATCAATTAACATCTTGTGAAGTGAAGAGCTGTGTTTGTAAGAAACAAATCCATCATTAAGGCGTTTTAACTTAAAACCGTCACTTGTGGCCAAAATACAACTCCATTATCCATAACAACACATTTTCCAGTGAAAAGGTCCATCCCCTGTTGTCCTCTCACATCAAAATCCACTGACATGTTTGTTTAGAACTATTTTTGACTGTTTTCCTTTGTAAACGATGCTTGATCTGTGCACATTTTTCACCTGATTCAGACAAAATGACGTTTTCACTGGACAAAAACAACATTATTGGATAGAGTACTCATATTTTTAGCCGGTTTAAAGTTAAAAACGTCTTAATGATGGATTTGTTTCTTATAAACACTGACCTTTTCCCTTTTCAAGACATTAATTAATGGACTGGAGCGGTGTGAATTATATGTGGATTATTGTGATGTTTTTCTGTTTGGACTCTCATTCTGACGGCACCCATTCACTGCAGAGGATCCATTTGTGAGCAAGTGATGTAATGCTAAATAATGCTCCAAATCTGTTCTGATGAAGAAACAAATGCATCTACATCTTGAATGGCCTGATTGTACAAGTAAATACCATTTCAGTCTTTCTACTTCAAAATGTCATGTTTATTTCAACACGTTGCTTGCCGTTTCTTTGTAATCATCTGTGATGTGTACTAGAAATTTTTGAATAAAAATAACTTCTACACCACTTTTTTTCACTGTTTCTGGTGCATTGTGTGGTTTTAAAAACAATTTAACAAGCGTAAAAGTGCAAATGATGCAGGACCAAAAAAAAATCCAACATTTTCAACTGTCTCAATTCTCATAACAGTTTCAGTATGCTGGAATTTTCAACACATTTCAGCAATTTCCAGTAAATAAACACGTAGCGTAAGAGCTTACGCCAAAATAAAGGATGGTACTTTTTAGTGTTTCAAATCTCCGTCACCAAATTGACAGTTGAGGGTATTAAACGTATTTTTCAGATATTCAAATCAGTTCAAAAGACCAGTGTGATCAGTAAATGACACTGATTGACATCAGGCTCTGCCCACACTGGGGCGGAAGAAAAAACCCGAAACGTCAAAAAGACGAGTAAATCCTCACCCCCTTCCTCACCTACTCACAGTGCGCTAACGCAGCTTGCGCAGGCAGGTAGGAGTTTCAGAGAGAAAGTGCTACCTTCATCGAGGACATTTGCATGCAAGAGATTGCATATATTACAAAAAGTTCTCTGAAGCCTTGCTGATATGCGCGTTACGTTGACATATCAGGGTTTAATGGAGCGGTGTAGGTGTCAATGTGCCAGGATGATACTGAGATAAACCGGTGCCAATCCAGTCTACAACATGCATGCAAAAACAGAGTCCAACAAGAGCCATTTTAATCTGTACAGCGTTTCTTCACTGGCTCTGTAAAGATTAACGCTCTACCTAGACAGCAGTTCCAAAAGGTAGGCGGCAACGTTACGCTGCCTTCAGAGATACCACGTTTTGGCCAAATTTGAAGGCAGAACCACATGTATTTTGTGGACGGTGTGGCAATCCCAGAATGCATTTCGACTAGAGTAAAACTGAACTAAAGTAGAATATGTGCTTTATCTTTATATATTTAGATGCCTTGTGATGTGGCGAAAGACATATGAACACATAAATAATTGAATAATAAAAAATATTTATACAAGCATCGATAGTAGTGATGTAATATTGAGAGGAAAACGGTATCGAAATCTATTTATTAATGATTGTCAAAAGTGCAGTAAAAAAATCTAAAAATTGTTCAATATTATTACAATTTAAAATAACTGTTTATTATTTGAATATACTATAAAATGTTATTTATTCCTGTGATGCAAAGCTGAATTGTCAGCATCATTACTCCAGTCTTCATTGTCACATGATCCTTCGGAAATAATTCTAATATGCTGATTTAGTCTTTAGGAAACATTTCTTACAATTATCAGTGTTGAAAACAGTTCTGCTGCTAAATATTTTTTGTGGAAACATAATAAATTTTTTAGGATTCTCTGATGAATAAAAAGTAAAAAAAACAACAACATTTATTTGAAACAGACATCGTTGGTCACAATGTAAAATTCTTTACTGTCAATTGAATGCATCTTTGTAGATTAAAAGTACTAATTTCTTTCAAACTAGGTTTTGGAACAAAACTTTTAAGTTCTTAATGTTATATTCACATTCTAGGTTCTTCAAAGAATGTTTTCTAAAGAACTAGAGAATTAAATATTCTTTGAGAACCTATGACATCAGGCAGAAGAACACTTTTTTAGAATGTTTGTTTTTTCCAAAGTGTACACTTAAAGTTTATTATTTACATTTATTATGTGTTATTTTTCTTTTATAGCTTCACTCAAGAGTAATTGCCAACTCAAAAGTTGTGAAGAATCTGTCATGGTCTGGCTGTGAGCACTAACCTGTGGCCGCCACCATTCTCTCTTCGGACGTCTGTTGGTTATGATGTCGTTCCTCTGCGTTCTGTTTGTGATGTCGTTTGAGCTCATTGGCTAATTGCCTACCCAGCGGCACATCTGTCAGGCGCAAGTTTAGGGGTCTCTCGCCTGTATTTAAGAATAGAAAGTCAACTACTGATACGAACACGAAACAAATGCAAATGCAAAATAGCAGTGAGTAACAAAGAAGAAGAGGAGAAATGTACCAGAGAGATGTGAGAGGCTGCTGTTGCAGTGTTGAGCAGTGGGAGCGAGGTATTTCAGTGCTGCAGTTGGAATCCGCCAGTCCAACGATTTTAGTCTCTCTTGGACGGTAGCATCACGCAAGAGTTCCACCTGCTTGGCCAACAGAGAGTCCAGCTGTACCTGAATGTAAAAAATGTTCACAACGAGGTTTCAAAAAAAGCTAAGTTTTCAAAAGCAAACATTTAAAAAAAAATTTAAACAGTTAAAAAGGCCCAGCAGAGGTTGTACTTCCTTCGCCAGCTGAGGAAATTCAACCTGCCACAGGAGCTGCTGAAACAGTTCTA